ACACTCTGCCGTTAGCTCCTGGGGGCCTGCAGCACCTGTGCACACGGCACCCTGCTCTCAGCTCCTGGAAACCTGCAGCACAAGCATACAAAACACAGCCAGCATCCTGTTGTCTACAGCATCCTCATACCAGCCCTGGGGAAGCCTGCCACCATCATGCACACAGAATTGTGCAGTGCACTTGTGTACAAGTCCACTACATTGGGCTGCTTGTGTGCATACTGCGAACCGAGCTCTGAAAGGTATGCACAGTGCAGAGAATACCACGTGTGTACACCACACGACATACATCACATGCACGCATGTACTCCCACCCCAAGGGCATGCACAAGTACCACATCCAGCACCTAGCAAGTGTGTACAACCTCCACCCCATATCAGCCTTGGGCGAGTGCCTTTTTCCTTTAGTAATGGGTACACGTCAGTGGGTGTGTGGGGGACACGTGCTGGATGGTGTGGGGTGAGGTGACCATGATGACTGCCCTGAGTCCCACCTTCTGACTGCACTGGATGGCTTGAGACCAGCCCCCAAAGTGGCTTTCTCTCTTAGGTCAGTCTCTAGAGCCCAGGTCTTCTGGGCAACACTATCAGGACAGTGCCCCGAGGATACAAGTGATTCAGAAGGCAAGGTGTCTTGCTCCATAGATACCCAGGCCAGGTCCCTGGACATTTGTGGTATGTACAGGGGACTGTGCAAGCTGTGGGCATGTTTTCTGGTGAAACACTCTCTGCTGTTGGTGTTTGGTGCTGTCGAGTGGACTCTGACTCATAGAGACCATTTGCAGCATGAGCTGGGAAGCCTCAGCCCAGGTGTGGCACCAGTCCCCCTGCGGCCCAGGCCCTTGGGCTCCTAGCTACCTTGTCCAGGAAGTCCTCCAGGTTGCAGCTCTGCAGGTGGAGCTGGGCCACCTTTGCTGGCTGCGTGGTGGTCAGATTTGTGAGCGCGGCTGGGTAGTCATCTCTGGAGATGCTCTGGTCTGGAAGGTCAAAGGCGTTGATGAGGGTGAGGATGTTCCTGTGGTGGCAGAGTGGAGCCAGGTCAGCGTGCTGGGAGGGCGTGCAAGGTCAGCAAAGCACAGTGGCGAGCATGTGAGTGTGCGGGGTGCGTGTGCCAGGCGAGCGTGCTGAGTGAGCATGTTAGGTGTGTGCACAGGGTAAATGAAGGGGGGGGTGGGTGAACATGTGAGTGTGCTGGGTGCGTGTGCCAGGCGAGCATGCTGGGCGAGCATGATAGGTGAGTGTGCACAGTAAATGCACCGTCATGGGGGTGCGTGGTGAGTGGTAATCATGCTGGGTGAGAGTGCAGGTAAATGAAGGGTGGTGGGTGTGCGTGGTGAGTGGTAATCAGGATGGGTGAGTGTGCAGGGTAAATGCACGGTCATGGGGGTGCGTGGTGAGTGGTAATCAGGATGGGTGAGGGTGCAGGGTAAATGCACAGTCATGGGGGTGCGTGGTGAGTGGTAATCATGCTGGGTGAGGGTGCAGGTAAATGAAGGGTGGTGGGTGTGCGTGGTGAGGGGTAATCAGGATGGGTGAGTGTGCAGGGTAAATGCACGGTCATGGGGGTGCGTGGTGAGTGATAATTATGATGGGTGAGGATGCAGGTAAATGAAGGGTGGTGGGTGTGCATGATGAGTGGTAATCATGACAGGTGAGTGTGCAGGGTAAGCATGCATGGTAAATGAAGTGCCACGTGGTAATCATGGTGGGCACTTGGAGTTGCCTGAGTATTCCAGGTGAGTGTGCACAGTGAGAGGTAACTGCCGAGTGGGCATGTTGGGTGCGTGTGTACAGGGAGTGGTACTCGTGGATGGTACATGGAGTCAGGTGAGCATGCTGGGTGAGTGTGCGCAGAGAAGGGTAATTTTGTTGGGCATGTGGAGTAGGGTGAGTGTGCCAGGTGAGTGTGCACCATGAGTGGTAACCGTGTTGGGCGTGTGCCAGGTGAGTGTGCACTGTGAGTGGTACCCATGGTGGGCGTGCAGAGCAGGGTGTGTGTCCCAGGTGAGTATACACAGTGAGTGGTAACCGTGGTGGGTGTGTGGAGTTGGGTGAGTGTGCACGGTGAGCATGCCGGGTGAGCGTGCACAGTGAGTGGTAACTGTGACAGGTAAGTGGAATCAGGTGAATGTGCTGGATGGGTGTGCCCAGAGCTAAGTGTGGTGGACGTGTCAAGTTAGGTGAGGGTACACAGTGCTAAGCTGCACAGAGAGATGGCCATGTGGAGCTGGTGAGGGTGCACAGTGAGTGGTAATTGTCGTGGGTGTGTGGAGCTGGGTGAACGTGTAAAGTGACTGGTAATGGTGGTGGGATGTGGATTAGGTGAGTGGGCACAGTGAATGGTAACCATGGTGGCATGTGGAATTGGGTGAGTGTGTAAAGTGAGTGTTAACCATGGTGGTGTGTGGAGCTGGGTGAACATGTAGGTGAATATGCTCAGTGAGTGGTTAACTGTGGTGGGCATGTGGATTTAGGTGAGTCGGCACAGTGACTGGTAACTACAGTGGCGTGTGGAGTTGGGTGAACATGTAGGTGCATGTGCACAGTGACTGGTAACCATGGCAGTGTGTGGAGCTGGGTGAATGTGCTCAGTGACTGGTAAACATAGTGGTGTGGTGTGTCGAGCCAGATGAGTGTGCACCATGATGGGAAATCGTCGTAGGCATATAGAGTCAGGTGAGCATCCTGGGTGAGTGTGACAGGTGAGTGTGCACAGTGACTGGTAACCGAGGTGGCATGCGGAGCTGGGTGAGCATCATCTCCAGAGGCCCAGTGTCCAGGCAGTGCCCAGCAGTGCTGCTCACCTCTCCAGACACACAGGTGGGGAGCTCACCTGTCCAAGCAGTGCCCGTAGTCATTGGTGGCCTTGAAACCAATGACGGAGAAGACCGCGATGGAAGCGTAGAGGGAGGTCATGCTGTTGACCAGGGCGATGGTCACGGCGTCCTTCTCACAATCGTTCCTGAGGGCACACACCTGTGTTAGCTGGACTTTCTCAGCTAGGGCTCCACTTTTGAGGTACACTGCCTCAAGGTGGGGTCTTCCTGCCTCCCTTCCCTCTGAACCCCTGAAGGTCCAGTGCTGCTGGGGCCTGGCCACAGACAGGACTGTGTGTGGTGCTCTCAACTCCTCCCTATCTTCCTCCTTTACTGGTGCAGTCACCCACGCTGGCACCTGGTCAACAAAGCACACCCCATCTCCTGATGGACTGTGGCTTCAGAGTGGGCACTAGGACAGACACGCTCTCAGGTCCACTTAGGGACTTCTTAAGCTAACTTCATCCCACCTCCCAAACAGACAGAGACTCAGAACTCTCTCTGTAGGAGCAAAGAGAGACGCATAGACATAGAGAGAGGTGCACACACACAGAGACATACACATATACAGAGAGGGAGGAACAGAGAAAGAGACATAGAGACAGGATTAGAAACAGACATGCAGAGAGAGACATACACAGAGAGACACACAGAGGCATGCGCGCGCGCGCACACACACACACACATACACACACACATATGGTTGTTTCTACCTGCAGTGGGCTCACACACCTTGGTGAGTAGCCCCTTCCGGCAGTCTCCATGTCCTGGGACCTGTCCAGGCTGGTGCCACATGACTCCTGAGCCTGAGTTAGAGTGCAGTTTCTGAGTTCCTGTGCCTTCACCTAGAACCTCCTCCATGCTCTGAGGACATGAGCCACATCTCCCGTGGGACGTTGGGTGGGGTCCTTTTCTCAACTTTCTCTCATTCTGTTTGTGTTACGGGGTTCACAGACACTGTCCTTGCTCATCTCGTCCAGCCTGGCCTGCCCTCCTCACGTGAATAGTCGGCCCATCTGTGCAGTGACCCTGGTCTGGCCTGTGAGATCCATGGAGATTGGCTCATTGGTTCCAAACCCCACCTGGTCAGCTCAAAGCACATTTTAGTTGGACCCACAAAGGTGTCAGGACTTCAAGGTGCTGAGAGGCAGTGGTGCATATTTAAAATTACCTCCGCCTGAGAGATGCATGTGATCATGCTTTGGGGTGTGCTATAGAGTGGACAGTGTCCCTCAAAATACTCATTAACATGACTAGGCTGTGACTGTCAGTGCTAGGTAATTATCCTCCACTTTGGAGTCTGATATTGTCCTATGTCAGCCAGGAAATAAAAAAAACGTATTGCGATGGGAAAGTCTGCTGTTAGGGACCTCTCTAAAGTACTCAAGAGCAACGGTGTCTCTCTGGAGACTAAGGTGCGCCTGATACAGGCCATGGTCTTTGCAATCACTTGTTATGCAACAGAGAGTTTGACAATGACTAGGGAGGATAGAAGGAGAATTGACGCCTTTGAGCTGTGGTGCTGGAGAAGAGTATTGAATGTACCATGGACTGCCAAGAAAACAAACAGATTAATCCTAGAGAGGGTTAAACCAGGCTACTCCTTGGAGGCAAGGATTCTGGTGCTTCATCTGACATACTTTGGACATGTTGTAAGGAGAGACAGGTCCTTGGAGAGGGACATCATGCTTGGGAGGGTGGAGGGACAGCGCAGGAGGGGAAGACCCTCTATGAGGTGGATTGATTCAGTGACTGGGGTAATCGGAATGGGTGTGTCAGAGGCAATGAGATTGGCACAGGATAGAGCAGGGTTTAGGGCTGTTGTACATAGGGTTGCTATGAGTCACAAACAACTCGACGGCACATAACAACAACAACAACATGTCCTGTAAATTCTTGCCTTTATAATGTCAAGGAAGCAGAAGTGTAGTGAAGCAGGATGCAATCTATGGGACTAAGTGCTGTCTTGGGTTGCTTGCTTCGGAGACATTATAGGGATTAAAGAAGCAAACAGAGACCAGAGGGACCTAATGCCATCAAGGAAGATGATCTGGGAGCGGAACACATCCTTTGGTCTGAGAGTACTGTGCTAAGAACCTCGTAGACTCAGGGGAAGAGTGATACTCAGACATATGGGCCTCTCCAAGGAATGCCAGGCCCACAGGAAAAGAAGGACTCATCCCAGAGCCAGCAGAGGAAGGAATCTTTCCCCTAGAACCGGTGCCACAGCTCACCTGTCCCTTTGTCGCACTACGGTGGGGTAGCTTTTGTGTTGCTGTGGCCTGGACGTTATGCCACAGTATTTCAAACACCACCAGAGTGGACAAGTTCTAGTGAAGCTTCCAGACTGAGAAGTAGCTCTAGTAGCACATCAACAGGACGCTTCCAGAAATTCATGCTGGAGTTAGAAGAGGCTGTGGAATGAGAGCTAATGTGATTGATATAAGACGGATTTTGACTGAAAGCAGAGGATACTAGAAAGATTCTCTCTTGTGTTCCATTGAGTATGTAAAGGCAGTTGACTGTCTGGATTATAGTATGTTACAGCTGATATTGAATAGGATGAGATTCAAGAACACTTAACTGTAGTCATGTGAAGTGCATGAACCAAGAATCAGTCATTTGAACAGAATAAGGAGATCTTGCGTGGTTTAAAATCAAGAAAGATGGACATCAAGGTTGTATCCTTTCTCCATACTTATCCAATCTGTATGCTGAACAAATAATCTGAGAAACTGGACTCTCTGAGGAAGAAGGTGGCATCAGGATTAGAGGAAGACTCATCAACAACCTGTATTATGCAGATGACACAACCTTGCTTGCTGAAACTGAGAGGACTTGAAACCATTTACTAAAGAACACAACATTATCACTTTCATGATGCATTAGTCCTCTCTATGAGAAAAACACAACACCAACAACAGCATAGAGAGAGAGAGAGAGAGCAGTTGGCCTAGTGGACAGAAAGTCATACTCCCAAGCCAAAGGTGGGTGACTCTACTCCGCGGCCCTCAGGCCTGCCTTTACTTGTTTTTGGTGAAACATTCTTCTAGGTCATGTAACCCTGGTGTGTCCACTTGCTGTACAGAGGTAACTCGTGGTTACTGTGAAGCTGACCACTGTGACACTGATATGTCAAATGTGAGAATGATCACCCATGGTGGACAGTGTTTGGTGGAGCTCCCCGATTAAAACAAGCTTGGAAGCAGGAGTGGCATCCACTTCCATAATAGCTTGCCTCTGGAAACCCTATGAACCTGGAGAAAGGACAAAAGTTGTACAGGTGTCCAGGACTTTCATTCATAGGGTCGCTATGTGTCGTCTATGACTCGATGGCACTTAACAACAACAACAGCTCGAAGAAAACAAAAATCCTTGAAAATGGACAAGTAGGCAACATCATGGTAAGTGGAGAAAAGACTGAACTTGTCGATGATTTCATTTTGTTTGGATCCACTTTCAACATCCATGCAAGCAGTATGGTTTGCTTTGGGCAAAGCCGTTTTCAAGGATCTCACTTTAAACACTATGCTGCATCTGGCCCAAGCCAGGGCATTTGCAATCATTTCATTTGCTTATGGAAGTTGGACAACAGATAAAGAAGACAAGAAGAAGAATTGTAGTGTGCTGTGTTATTAACAACAACCCCAAATCTGTTTTAAAAGACTCGCAGGCAGGTGTTCTTAGAGGAAAAGATAGTAAGACAAGTCACACATTTTAGGCCTTTTGGCCTGTTAACCCTTAGAGTAAGAGTCATATAACCCTGGTGTGTCCACTTGCTGTACAGAGGTCTCACGTGGTTGCTGTGAAGCCGAGCACTGGAGTCAAATGTGATAATGGTTACACATGGCGGACAGTGGTTGGTGGAGCTCCCCGATTAAAACAAATTTGGAAGCAGGAGTGGCATCCACCTCCATAATAGCTTGCCTCTGGAAAACCTATGAACCTGGAGAGAAGATGAAAGTTCTACTGGAGGTGTCCAGGACTTTCGTTCAGAGGGTCGCTATGAGTTGCCTATGACTCGACGGTACTTAACAACAACAACAACAACAAACAACAACAACGATAACAACAACAACAACAGGCATCGTACTTTGAAAGGTGGTAGGTCAGACAAGGAGAGGAAGACGTTCAACCAGATGGACTGACACGGTGACTGCCGAGAGTGTAATAGGGCGAGATTTAGACCCATTGTTCGTAGGGCTGCTGGGTCAAAGTGGGTGCCCTCAAGTCAGAAATTTAGCCTCCAAAGCTGCGTGAGAACAAATTTCCATTTCTCATAGTAGGAACTGGCAGCATGTGAGAGTCCAAGGCATGCCAGCTGCAAAGATGTACAGGGCGCCACGGTGCCAGCTCACCTCTGGCTCCCGAAAGGCTTTCTAAAGAGGTGGGAGTTCCCCAAGGCAATCCCGTGTCCCTGGTGTTTCCTGCTTCCCTGCCCCTCCTCAAGGCGAACACATTGACAGCTAAACTGAGTTTAGTTAATCTAACGTTTATCGTGAGGACGGCACAGGACAGGGCAGGATTTCAGTCTCTTGTTTGTACAGTTGCCATGACTCCATGTGACAATAACATTTATCACAGTGAGTTTTGAGGTCACGTGCTTCATGATTCCTTGGAATTGTACTTTGTAATGTTTATGTGCTCTGTGGTCTTGTAAAATCAATGCGCAGTCCCAGAACCTGCTTTACGTGATTGTGGAGACTGACGCGGAGTGGATTCCAGCTTCCGTGACACAGTGTGTTAGGGCCATGGTTAATTAGGGGTGATGTTTCCTCCGGTTATGTCATTGCTCCCCAGTGGGTAATCCTGGTTTACTGCCTCGGCCGCCACCTGCTTTAACTTGCCTTCCAGGGCACCTTCAGCCGGGTCCAGGGATGACTCAGGCATTCGCCTGAGCACAAAGCGTATCACACAGCACAAAACTCTTATCACAAGTTTACAGAGGTGGCCCAAGTCCCATTGGCGGGATTGGAGATAAAGAAGTGCTTGTCTGCTGCTTTACAAGCTTGGGGACCTGCAGGTTCAGCACCCCTCCTGCCCGCCCCGCTCGCTCCCGAGGAAGCCACACCTGTCCCCCTGTCCCCCCACCCATCCCACCTACCTGGGAGGGTTGTAACTTGCAAACGCGATGTGTCCTCCAAAGGCCAGGGACAGAGAGAAGAATATCTGGGTGGCTGCATCCAGCCACACCCGCGGGTTCTGGAGAATCTGCATCTGGAAGGTCGGGGAGAGGCTTCTTACAGAGAGGCACAAACTACCAGTGTCCACATGCTCAGGGTTCCAGAATGTTCCTGGACTGCTCAAGACACTGTCTCGAGTGGCTGTAACCTGCTCAGGTCTCAAGGACAGGTCAGGACCAGGGAGAAGTAGGCACGCTTGGAGTGACAGCTCTCAACTCTTCCGGCTGTCACCCTGAGACCCTTGAGCTGGGCTGGGAAATGGGCCTGAGCCTTGCTTGCTCCTCTGGTCCCCACTCGAGGTTCCTGGATGGCTTGACGGCCCTTCAGATGGGGCTCATCCTTGTGTGTAGTTGGGGTTTCGTGCTGCTCTGGGTGACTTGGGTGCACCCACAAACCCCACTGGTCCCACTATTTCTTGGGGATACAGAGCTCACCACAGGCTGAGGGAAGCCCTTCCCTCTACTCCCTCCTCCCACCTTCCTCCTCCTTTCCCTTCTCATTCTCTTTCTACTCCTGTTCCTCCCCCTCTGCCTCTTCTGTGGTCCTCCTTCTTCCCCTGCTTGGAAGAGCAGATGGCCAATGAGAGAGCAAGGAAGCCCCTCTGCAAGAGGGATTGACACCGTGACTCCACAGTGGGCTTGTGCACAGGGGAGATCATGTGGGTGATGCAGAACAGAGCAAGGACTGGATCTCTCGTCCATAGGGTCACAAGGAGCCGTAGCCGAGGACCTTCCACTCCCATTCCTCGACCTCCTCTTCCTTTCTGTACCCTCATTTCCTCTTCCTCCTCCCCTCGTCTTCCTCTTCCTTCTCCCCTCGTCTTCCTCTTCCTTCTCCCCTTTCCTCCTCATGACTCCTCTCCCACATTCTCCTTCCCCTCCTCCTTTTCCTTTAAGCAGCCATGTGGCCACTATTCTGTCTGGTCCCGATCCATCCTTCCTGTCTCTGTGGTCAGTCCTCCAGCCACATTCCTTGGGAAGGACAGAAGGGGTGACCTACAGGCCCCAAGGGCTCCCTTAGGGACACTGGCAGGCGATCCTGGGGTCCTGGACTACGGAGAGTGGTCCAGAGAGGGGCATATGACTCCCTGCCTGGTGGATATGCGTTGCTGGAGGAAGCCCTGAGGAGTGTAGGGAGGAGGTCCTGACACTAAGGGGGCCATCTGCATTTCCATCAACCTCCCCTCTGAACCATCTCCCTGCTCACCTGAGCCCCAACTGCATGCTGGTCACTCCTAAGGGGTTCTGTAGGCACCAAATCAGTCAGTATGTCACAAATGAATCCCCTTCCCTTCCCCCACCTCCTCAAATGTGACCTCCGGCCCAAGACACTGACCCCTCCCCCCATGAGTTGGGTGAGTCTGACCACCCACAGTGCCCATTGGAGCATTGCGCCTCCCAGGCCAGGACTTACCTTGGGGGTGAACAAGTAGCGGAGTCCGTCCATCGCCCCTGGCAGAGTCAGTCCTCGGATGAGGAAGATGGTCAGGACCAGGTACGGGAACAGGGCTGTGAAATAAATTACCTTCCCAAGAAAGGCGGAAACGATGCCACATTCATAACGGTGTTGGTCACAAATAAAATAAAATCCCATCCAGGAGAGGAAGGGACCCGCTCTTCAGCAAAAGTCCTCCCGGCCGGATCAATAAGGGATATTATGATCAATGGGGAAAGATTGTTGTCAAGGATTTCACTTTACGTGGATCCACAGTCAACATCAACATTCTTGGGAGCAGCATTCCAGAAATCAAAAGATGCTCTGCATTCGACAAATCTGCTCCTGTTGTTAGGTGCTGTTGGGTATAACTTATAGCAACCCTAAGAACATTCCTATCCTATCCTATCCTATCCTAGCCTAGCCTATCCTATCCTATCCTAAGCCATCCTCATCATCTCTGATACACTTGAGCCCATTGGTATAGTCACTGTGTCGATCCATGTTATTAGAGGGTCTCACTCTCTTTCAATGCCCCTCTACCTTCACAAGCAATATATTCCTTTCCAAGGAATAGACCTCTCAAAGTGTGCCAAAGAGCAAGGATGTCAGTTTAAGACTAGGGTGTGCCTGCCTCAAGCCATGGTACTTTCAATTATGTCTCATGTATGTGAAATTTGGATAGTTAACAAGGAAGATCAGAAGAGAACTGATGCATTTGAATTGTGGTGTTTGCAGATAGTGTTGAATTTATTGTGGATGATCAGAAGAACAAATAAACTTGTCTTGGAAGACATGCAGCCAGAATATTTTTTTTTTATGAGAAGAATTTGTATTTAGAATTAGCCAGCTGGACTCAGTTTAGATGATCCCAATTTTGTTGGCAACATTCAAGCATCATAGTCAGGAGCAAGTCAAACATAGGCCTTCTTCTCTCCCTCAAAGTGTTCCTAATCAAAGTGTTGACCTTGGCCATGTCAATGTCATAGAGCTTCTTTACAACTGGTTTGATTTGGTGCTTGTTGGCCTTGACATCCACAATAAACACAAGTGTGTTGTTATCTTCTATCTTCTTCATGGTTGACTCAGTGGTCAGGGGAAATTTGATGATGGTGTAGTGGTCAAGCTTATTTCTCCTGGGGGTGCTCTTTTGGGGGTATTTGGGCTGCCTTTGGAGTCTCAGCGTCTTAGGCCACCGGAAGGTGGGTGACGTGTGGATCTTCTTCTTTTTTTTTGGCTGTGGATGCCCTTCAGGATGGCCTTCTTGGCCTTTTAATGCCTTTGCTTTGGCTTCAGTTTTGGAAGGGGCAGGGGCTTCCTTCTTCACTTTTGGCGCTATCTTCGTAGAAAAGGCCAGATAATTCTTTAGAAGATGGTGAGATTATTTCACACGTTTTGAGCGTGTTATTAGGAGGGGCTGGTCCTTGGAGAAGGACATGATGCTTGGATGAGGATCAATGAAAGAAGGAACCCCTCAGAGAGACGAATTGACTCTGGCTGCAGCCAGGGATTCACACATAGCAAAGGCTGGTGGTGTTTCGCTCTGGTCTACACTGGGTCACTGTGCATTGAACAGGGCACCTAACAACAATTAGAAAGAATTTGTGGGTCGATTGTCCATGGCTTACTGACTTCTGTTCCTGACAGTGCTGTGAAAGCATTTTGTACAATGGTAGATTATGGAGTGCTGGCTCAGGGAAAGCTTCTTCTAGTGGTTTGAGGCTCACTGTAAATACTAAGACATAAATTACCTCCAAGTGGTTCCCATGCACATCAATTCCCTTGTTTGTGCCCTTGGGGGCCAGTTAAGGCAGGTGTGTAGCCCAGCGCAACAACAGCCCCACAAAACCAAAGCACCTCTGGGATAGCTGAGGGGGAGAACCTGGGTGGTAGGCACTGGTGTGGACATTAGGGAGAAGAAGCCTCAGTCCATGGCCCTCTGCAAAGGTTTGTCCACCACACGCTTGAGAACTCTGCGCTCTATACATCCGCCAAACCTCCAATCGTAACGCCCAAGATTCCTCCCTCAGCCCCAATCGTGGAAGGCCTTTTCTGCACCCCAAACAACAAAGGGGTTACAGACGGATTCTCCACAAAGAAGAGGGAAGTGCCTGGGTAGTGGAGTGGTGTGGCCAGAGCCCATGCCTCCTCTTTCTAGGTGCACTAGTGGGAGAGAGGCATCCTGGCCAGTGGCGTCCGAGGCACTCACCTTTCCGGAGGACTCAATGCCTCTGCTGACACACAGGTACACAATCACCCAGCAGGTGGCCAGGCAGACCAGCAATGGCCAATGCACAGCACCGCTGTCATTGATGTCCGCCGTGACGTTCAGCGTCTGCCGGTACCAAAAGTAGCTGACCACACCGCTGTCCTGACACTCCTTCACGAAGCCTGCAGGCAAGGAGAGTGGTCACAGCTGCTACTGGGACAGCAGGGCTACCTGCAGGCTCAAGTGGGCATGGGCCACAGACCCCCTCGTGCCAGTGATGCCCGGCCTGGTGGCAACTTCTGGTGGGTTTCCTAGGGAGCTGATGGCAGCCCCTCTCTGCTGCTCTGCTCTGCGCTGGGCTGGAGGCTGGGGTCAAGAGCAGCCAGGTCACATGTGCACAGCTCAGGAGGCAGCTCGCTCTGTCCATGGTGCTGAGCATCATACAGCCTTGGGGTCCCTGCACAGCAGCCTCTCAACTCTGCAGAGACCGTGCCTTCATTCCCCACGGAAGCTGGTGTTTCTGCTGATGCAAGGTCCCTTCATTATGCTGAGTTATAAAATAGGACTGACATGGGGGTTGGGGGAAAACCAAGAAAAGAGGGGATAAAACAATGTACATGGCATTGAAACAGATGAGGGAGAGAACTGTATAAAAGGAATATATGATAAGGTATTACTGGTGTGACAAGAGTCCAGAATAAGAGTTGCATAGTAAGGTGGTGGTGGTGGTGGTGGTGGAGGTGGAGGTGGTGGTAGTGGTGGTGGTG